GCAAAATGACAGTTCTGCACATGCTTCACCCATCTCAAAGCTGCATGATGAAAAGCAGACCTACAAGGAAATCCCTCTTTTCAGAACCAAGTTCAGGCCCTCTGGCTTCTGCATTCCTCCCAGGACAGCTGAGAATGTGGGGCAGACTTAACATTTGCATTACAGTTTTGTGGTAGCTTTTCTAGGCGTTCCCCTGAGGCAGAAGAGGGTGCCAGTCAAATTAATCCTACTGCAGATGTACATGGTTTTCCCTTCCCGACACACTCACACCTTGAGGTGAGACTAAAAGTACTGTACAAATTGGAAAATTTAAGCAACAAAAAATACTTCAATCATAAAACCTGCAGTCAAGTACAAATTATAGGAGATTTGACAGTCACTGCTTTTAAGGTTTGCTGTACTAAGATCATGAAGGCAAAGAATTCCGTTGTCTCTCTCACTTCATGCTATTCCCCCCATAATTTTAGCAGAGGCTTCCTGTATTCCTCTGTTGTTGTGGCGGGGGGGGGGGAGCTAGAAACACCTGCAAGGAAGAAATACCAAAAGCTGTGCAAGAGGAAGGGGCTGTGGCTCAGTGGCAGAACATCCGCTTTGCATGCAGAGGCAGGTCCCAGGTTCAATCCCTGGCATCTCCATTTAAAAAGATCTGACAGGAATGAATGTGAAACAATTCTACTTGAGAGCCACTGCCAGCCAGAGTAGAAGATATTGATACTGAAAGGCCAGTCGTCTGACTCTGTCCAAGGCAGTTTTGTGCAGAGTTTCCAGCAAGCCAAACTAGATGTTGGGGCACCAGCAGATCTATCACTAATGACAGGTGAGGGGAAGTACACCCATGTCCAGTTTCCTAGGATGCTTTGTTTTCTCCTTCCAGGAGGGCTCCAGTCCTAGAAGTGAGCCCAGCTGGAAGTCAGCACTCAGAGGGATGAGAGAGACATGAGGGCAATTCCCGTAAAGAAATGGTAAGTTTTCTGCAGGGGGAGGTGAAGGAAAATACTCTCCCAGTACAACAGCTCAGATTCATCACTATCTTTCTGCCCCAGCTGCTTGGATAGCATCAGTGATGCACAGAATGCTGCATCTCCATCCTAAGGTCCAACAACAGGTCAGAGGAAGAGCATGCAGTTTACAAAATACAATCACTGTGTGCCTAACATGCATAGGACTGAGTGAGGCAGTATGCAAAAGGCCAAGAGGGGTACCCCAGCCCCAGTCCGCAATGCTGCTGATGCTGGTTCTCCTTTCTTGGGCTTTGATTATCTGTGCAACATACTGTGCAGCACATTTTAAAAGGTAAACATCATAGAGTAACAAGCAGCAACTGGAAGAAAGGCATGGATTTTTTCATAGACTTAGGTCCACTACAAGCAAGGTGTATACCTTGACCAAGACCAAAAAATGGCACTAATGTCATGGCTCCTGGGTCATATGGCAGCAGCCCATCACAGAGCTACTTTACACAACAGCATTGCTATAATTGCCTGAACAAGGCTATCATAGCATAGAAAGGAGAGTGCCCGGGCTTTGATTATCTGTGCAACATACTGTTCAGCACATTTTAAAAGGCAAACATCATAGAGTAACAAACAGCAACTGGAGGAAAGGCGTGGATTTTTTCATAGACTTGGGTCCACTACAAGCAAGGTATACACCTTGACCAAGACCAAAAAATGGCACTATTGTCATGGCTCCTGGGTCATATGGCAGCAGCCCATCACAGAGCTACTTTACACAACAGCATTGCTATAATTGCCTGAACAAGGCTATCATAGCATAGAAAGGAGAGTGCCCCAGTGGCTACCCCCACTTCACGGTATGCTAACATTGACCCCAAGAATAAACATTGCATGTGGCCTCTGATAATACCCATGTGGCACTTCACGGTATGCTAACACTGACCCCAAGAATAAACACTGCATGTGGCCTCTGATGATACCTATGTGGCAGGACGGTACAGTACCATAGCAATTCCCAACTGAGAAGTGACACTGAAGGGGTCCAAAGAGCCATACAGCACTTCAAGGAGGAAAATAAATCCTCCATTTATGGGCACTGATACACCCCAACGCATATGCAGATGCACTGTAATTCCATGGATGACTCAAGATGCACTAAGCGACACCTCAGGGTACATTGCATTTGGGCAGATACAACGGAAGACATTGTAAAAGATGTTTGGGAGGAACAAGGCAGACTTTCTTACGCCTGCCCAGTTATGAAGGATAAACCGTATTTTCAGCTTGCTCCTTGTACATTTAAACAATCACACACAATTTTTCTGTTCCAAAAACAAGGATTATCTTCCTTGAGGGAAGAGATTTTAGTCAGAACATCAATACTGGACACCCCTTCAGTCATGTTCCAAGCCAAAGATACAAAAAGATAGACTGACACTACCTCCTTGTTTTATTTCTGTCCACCTCTTTCCCCAGATGCATGATAACAATCATCATCCTTTGCAGAGGGTAGCAGGGTGGGGGGGGTACAGAATGAAGGCATAATCCCCAGCTTTTGCAATAAAACAAGGTAAGCCCCCTTGGAATTGCTGAGCAGAAGTTGCTCACAAAAAAAATGTGCCTGTACCTCCATCGTTAGAGTGGAGTCCAGGTGCACCCCCAAACTCCGAACCCCAGACGCAGGCACCAAAGGTACCCCGTCGAAGGTCGGGAGAGGGAGGGCAGAGGGAGGGCATTGCATTTGGGCAGATGCAACGGAAGACATTGTAAAAGATGTTTGGGAGGAACAAGGCAGACTTTCTTGCAAGGAGAACTGAGAAACACTTCATATTTCTTACACCTGCCCAGTTATGAAGGATAAACTGTATTTTCAGCTTGCTCCTTGTGCATTTAAACAATCACACACAAAAGTTCTGTTCCAAAACCAAGGATTATCTTCCTTGAGGGAAGAGATTTTAGTCAGAACATCAATACTGGACACACCTTCAGTCGTGTCCCAAGCCAAAGATACAAAAAGATAGACTGACACTACCTCCTTGTTTTATTTCTGTCCACCTCTTTCCCCAGATGCATGATAACAATCATCATCCTTTGCAGAGGGTAGCAGGGTGGGGGGGGGGC